CTAATATAGATATAGATATATATATAATATTACTAATAGGTTTTTTATATAATAAAACTACTAATAAGTTAGAATTTAATCCTAATTATAACTATAAGTCTAATAATAGTAAATATTACTATAAGCTTATTAAAGCTTTATATAGGTTAAAATAAAGCCCTAGACTATAGTATAACTACTTAAAAGCTATATTAATAAAATTAGGATTTATTGTTTCACCTTATAATGAAGTAGTATTTATACTTAATAAAAATAGCTATAAAGCTATAATATGTTACTATATAGATAATATATTATTAGTAGCTAATAATACTACTACTAGTGATTATATATATAATATATTAAGGTAATATATAAAAATATAAATATTAGGGGAGCTTAGTACCTTTTTAAGCTATAAGTTTAAAATAGATAGACCTAATAAGTCTTTCTTTATATATTAAACTAAATATATATAAAAGATATTAAATAAATATAATAAAATAAATATAAGTCTATTTATAACTCCTATAAGAGATAATATAAAACTATATATAAATAAATATTATACTTCTAAAGAAGAAATCCTATAGTTTTAATAGTAAATTAGAGCATTTTTATATCTAGTTTTAAAAACTAGATTTAATATAGCTTTAGCTATTATAATATTATTAAGATATATAATAAACCCTTCTAAAGAGCATTTTATAACTTTAGATTATTTATAGGGTTATTTAAATAAATATCTTAATAAAGGAATATATTATAACTATAGTAATAATAAAATTTAGGATATAATAAGTTATTTAGACTCTAATTAAGCTAGAGACCTAGATAATAGAAAATCTACATTAGTTTATATATTTTACTAGGGTTTATATAATATAGTATCTTATAGTATTATAAAATAAAAAATTATAGCTTTATCTACTTATAAAGCTAAATATATAGCTTTAACTAAAGCTATTAAAGAGGCTTTATACCTATATAATAACTATAATTATAATTTAAATAAACTAAGATTTAATCTTATTAAAAAGCCTAAGATTTTTATAAATAACTTAGTAGCTAAAAGGCTAGCTGAAAATCCTAAATTTTATAAGAAATCTAAGTATATTAATATAAAATATTACTTTACTAGAGAATCTTTATTAAATAAAGATTATATATTATTTTATATAGACTCTAAGTCTAATATTATAGATATATTAACTAAGCTAGTAGGTAAAGTTATATTTAATACTATAATAAATATAATTAATAATAATAATAATAATAATAATAATAATAATAATGATAATAATAATAATAACTGTATTAAAGAAATAACTTACTAGTTTTTCTCTTACCTTTTTACCTATAAGGTTATTTAATAAGAGTTTTTTAACTAGTTATAAACATATTATATATATTATAGGAATATTTTTCTTATTTTTCCTATGAGGTTTTTAAGTTTTTTATACCTATAACGTATATATATATTAAGTGAGTAAGCTATATACTATAAATTAGCTGTATATACCTTAAGGGGGGATATTAATATATAATATTCTTTTATAATAATAATAATAATATAAGAATAATAATAATACTTAACTTATTTTAATAATCTATATAAAATAAACTAATAAAGTTTAAGGTATAAAACCTTATATAAAAATACTCTATTTATTATAACCTATAACTATAATATTAATTATATAATATATATAGTTATATAAGCACCTTATATAATTAGTAGTTTAGTAGGTTATGTTTTAGATTATCTTTCCCCTTACCTTTCCCTATTAGAGGAGGAAACCTACTAACTATATAAGTAATAATAACTAAAGTCATCATAATATATTAATTCCCTTATTATTATCTATACGATTAAATACCTATAAATACTTAGGATTATCACCTTTTATCATAACATAAGCCTATCTATAACCTTATACTATATAGGCGTATATACCACGCCCCTAAATACGCTTATACCTGTGCTAATATATATAAATATTATGCTTATATAGGAATTTTTACGATTTTTTAAGGTTAATTTTAAGCTATAAAAAGCGTTTTTTAGGCTTAGGGCTATAGAGTTATTAGTGATATTAGGGGTGGAAACCAGTTCTTTGCATAGAAACCCAGTATTTTCGCCCCCTACGTGAGTAGGGGGTTCTGCGCAAGCGCAAAAACCCCCGGGTAATGATCCTTAGACTCGTAGACACTAGCTTTCATCCCTGCAGGCGGCTCGAGAGATGAAACCGAATTGACCCCACCTTGCCAGGTCCCTACCTAGGTAGGTAATTCACTGCAATTGGGGCACATCGATGGCCACTGCACGTACATAGGTAGTAGTGCATACTTGGAGACCGAAAGAACCAACCAAAAAAACGTCAACCATCAAGAGCAGGAACAGGGGGAAGGCGTCTCAGCGACCGCAACTACCTGAGGTCGTTCGGTAAGATACTTAAAGTCGTTTACGTGTGCACTTGAGTGCTCAATTGTTCTCTTGGACGAAGCAGGAAGCGGCGAGATTGGCGCTTCAGCGTGAGAAACGGGAAATCGTCTGATGCATCCCAACAAAAGAGGAGCTCTTCGATAGATAATCATTGGATGTGCCGCATCCGCCACTTTGCCGTTGGACCAGGAATGGCCATTCGTCCGATGCTTCTTCTCGTCACTTGCAACCAACGGACTCCACCAGTGAGCCAACGGATGAAGATCAATGTCATTCGGTTCCTCGGAGCCGGTGGAGACGTGAAAGAGAGTTAGTGAAACAGAGAATAATAGCCGCTGTAAGTACAATTAAATCAATTGAAAGGAGAACTGTAAGGAACACTGTTGCCATCTGCATGACATTCCTTCTTCTTGACCGTATTTAAAAGTCTTGTCCTGCCGTGCAAGGCACAAGCTCCCCCCAACACCGAAACCACCAGAGCCGCTATTTGCCCGCGTGGTTACCAAAATTTCCACTCTCTCGATTTCTTAGCTTCCCTTCTACAAGATTAGCCTCATACTTTCGAATGAATTTTCTACATCAAGCAACTTACATGTTCTCAAGTGCACTTCATCATAACACTCTGCACGTTGCTGGCGGCGCCTCCTGATGTTGTCTCGGTGGAGCAGACACCCTCCTTAAAGGAACCGAAACCTTCTCCTTTTCCACAATCGGTTCCCGAGAAGGCAAACCAACCGCAGTTTCCAGGGAGTGCCTGTGCGAAGAAGGATCCCGGCTGTGACAGGACGCGACAGTCGAAGGCGCTGATAGTAACGTCGGTCTTTGCTACGCCGGTGCAATCAGTAGATCCGAACGCTTGGAATCTCTCCGCGACGACAGTAGAGAAAGTGGCGCACAACAAAGCAAAGATGTAGGAGGGCTGCATGGTGAGGTTGCGGTTAGGTTCCTACTGTGTAGTATTTGTCGTTGAGACCTGAGTCGTGTATCTTTTTGTTGCGTCTTGAACGTTTGTGTTGCAAGGGATGGTCTTGGCATCTCTGGGAGATTGATTGTATTTATACTTTGGATCTATCACAATTCTGTGAAGAAGTATTGGTTAGAGGTAGTGACATTTGAACAACAATAGAGTTTGAGGAATAGACGAGCGCTAGGGATTGAGAAATCGCGTTTTTTACGTAAAAATCAACGTACTCGTACCGTCGATAAAAAACGACAAAAAACGAACAAAAACGGCTAGCCTAATCGGGTAAAGTGGAGCTTATCCGGGGAATACGGAGCTTCTTTAGGTTAGTACTCGGAATACCCCTTATAAAGGTTTCTCCGGCCTCCGATCATTAACTATATGGGTCCTGTTGTTTATACCGTAAAGTACAACGGTTTGAGCCCAAAAGTACAACGTACTGCCAAGAGAACGTTCGTTGATCTCACACCCTAACGAGCGCACGATGCATTGGACTGGAGTGGGCATGACATGGCTAATTAGCGGAAATTGAGCTCTCGGGCTCGCCGATTGCAGGTGCCGATTTGATTCAATTACCTCCCCCTTTACAGTTTCGGCTTGAATCGGTAGACCAGTATTGCAGTATTTCACATTTTATTCTTGTTACCTCCATACCTTAGATACTTGACATTCGAAACCTGGTTGTGAGCGCTGACGTGCTCACACATATTGGAACGACCACAGCTTGAGAAGTAGAGTGTGCAGTTAATCCGTAAACTTGCCGGGCCGCTGTTCGAGTATTGTTTTCAACAGTGCAGGTATGGCAAATGTCTTATCTGGAAGGATAGACACGGTGCAGACAAGCATAAGGATGAAGAAGACGACGACAATGACAACGAAGATTACAGCGCCAATTATAAGTAGAGAGCTAAACAATCAGTCATATAGGCCTCATGTCATCCGATCAGCTAGAGGTGCCCGCATGCACAGCAAAGCTCAAAATCGGACGGACTGGTATCACCCCAAAGTCAATGTAGCAACCCGGCGACGGAACTGTTTCAAAACGCCGAGAACAAACTTCTAGTCGACATTGTTGAGCATGAAAGCGTAAGCTTAAGTAAGGAAAGCTTGATAACAAGAAGTCTACGCAATCGATGTGTTCTTATGCTCTCAGGAGTCATCTTCCTTCCCAATCCTTCGATCATACAAGGTACTCTGCTAGTCGCGAGAAGTGAACCGTACTCAGCCTCAATCCCAATTCTTTAGACTAAGAGTGTTCCAAAATGGATTCATTGGATCAGTTATATCCCCAGCGCCCGCTCAAAGTTGCTATTATTGGCGGCGGGCCAGGCGGCCTAAGTGCGGCGATTGAATTTAAGAAGCTGAGCTTCGTGCGCTGGACGCTTTACGAGAAGAAGCCTGCCATTAGCGAAACGGGGGCCGGCGTGAGCCTTCAGCGGAATACCTGGAGACTGTTGGAGTTTAATGGTGTTGCTAAACACTTCTCCAAAGAGGACTTCTTCAGATGTCAGGATGGCTCCAACAAGCACATTCGGTTCGTTTCAAGGTCTTCGCAACCTCTGCAAGCGATTGCGTGGCTAACAACGCTGGTCAACTCCAGCAATGGACGCAATGGAGAGTTGATGGATATAATTAGCCACGCCGAAAACACAATTCCTCAGCACCGAACCTGTCGGATGATGCGCAGTAAACTGCAAGCGGCGCTGCTAAAGGAGGTTGACAAATCGAAGATAATGACGTCTAAGTGTTTGGTGTCCGTTGTCTTTGTGGCCGGCGGCAGATGCAGGTTGACGTTCAAAGATGGCTTCGTCGATGAAGTTGACCTTCTAGTCGGGGCAGATGGGATCAGATCAGTACGCCGAAAAGACCCTGCGTCAGAACATTATTAACTCATTTCAGATTGTGAGATCTGTTGTGTCGCCCTCCCACCACCTCGGATACAACGGGCACTTCACCTATCGTATGACGATTTCCCAAAAAGACGCAAAGGAGATCCATGGCCTTCCATGGGCCCCTACCTTCTGGCTCGGTAACGTCGGCCACTATGCGTTTACCTGCCCTCTTGGTGGCGACGACTTCGAGGTCACACTTCGCATTCCACGACCCCCTGGAAAAGAGGAATTCGTTAGCTGGGGACGTCCATGCGACCTAGCCCCAATCGCTGAAGATTTCAACCTATTTTGCGATCCAGTAAGGCATGCCATCCGTCTCAGCATCCATGCCGAGTGCCAAGAATTTGCTCTGTTCACTGGGAGTAGGCTTGATCGGATCGTTGCTCACGATGCGGTCGCGTTGATTGGTGACGCGTGCCATCCATTGTCTGGGGCATTAGGTGCAGGCGCAGGCTTCGCCTTGGAGGATGTATACGCCCTTTCAAGGTGCTTAGGCTGGGCATGGTCGCATGGATTGTCTCTCGGTATTGCGTTGCAGTATTATGATCGCATCAGATCGCCTCATTATCGTGATATTTATCAAGTGCTGGGCAGAGTCAACGAGACTGAGGTTGCTGTAGCAGCCGAGAACCTTGATATAGACGCGGAAGTCAAAGAACGAGTCAGAAGAACTGATGAAGCTAGAGATAACTGGGTATACTACTATGAAGTAGACAAAGTAGTCGCACGCACTTTGAAGAACCATGAGTTCATGGTTGACGCAAGGCTTTAGGGGCTCATACGAGGTATGTTTTTGAACTTGCTTGGCAGAATGGAGTATTTAGAACAACGGTCAAGGATTGGAAAAGATTGGTTGAGAATTGAAATCAAGACTCGAATCCATCCGTCGCTTGCCCCAGTGTGACAGGAGTTCTTGGTTCAAGCTCACGACAGGATCAAACTTTCCCGCAGTTTGTTATATACTAGAGTCCCGACTTGTGCTAATGCTCAAACGATTTTGGAAAGGCTTTTCAGACCGAAATGTGACTGTGTTTGAGCCGGCGTTGAATGGGGAGCTCTTAGCTTGGTGACAGCAGATAGGTGGGCTGTAGAGTACCGAGATGCGCAAAGTAGTGTGACATCAGCAGCAACAATAGACCCGTAGCTTGATTGAGAGACCAGGAGGTGACGGGAGATACGTACCTTGCGTTCGCTGCTGACATCATTATCCGTTGTAGCAATGTTCAGCAATCAGAATCTGACAGTAGTCATACCGTATTTCTAAGCGGCGGTTCCGCGGAACCTAGAAGCCCGAGAAGTGGTTCGCATTTATTTTCCTCCCTGCTCAAAAAAGTGTCTGAGTCTCTCCGTAACTATGCTGAACTGAATTCTATCGGCCCGCATAGTTCTGGAGATACCATGTTGAACCCGAGAACGAGTCGTAAGGTAAAGACGACTGCTTCAATCGCTTTCACTGGGGCTCATTGTTAACCGTGTCGGCGCCGAAGGCTTGCGACCTCTGCTATAGGAAAATGATCAAGTGCATGCCCAGAAACCGCGTTTCTCAAACTGTCATGTCTATTCCAGCGATTGCACGCACGAAGCGATCAGTCGGCACAAGAGGAAGAGGAGGAATGTCCTTCTTCCCTTCTAACTTTTCTTCCGCATTTTGCCACCTGGAGGCGCACCTTGTTGACTGCCGTATGACTCTGACGGGGAAATATTCGAGGGCCAGGATGGCCTGGGCTTCGCAGAGAAACCTCTATGGCCACCTATTGGGGTATATGAAGAGAGCGCGATTTCAATGCATGTGGTTAATAACCAATAGTTTCAATCCACAGCGCGGAAATGCCTTCTTTGAATCGGCCAGCTTAGACAGGCGCAAAACGTGTGTTGCCGTTTTCGCGAGAAGCGCGTCATTTGTCAGGGCCTCCCAGATTTGTACTGAAATACCCCGGACAGGATTATGCCAAGTAACTCTGCAATCTCGCACTACGAGGTTCCGCGGAACACCAGGATCTCTTACGTGATTAGGAGGTTCCGCGCACTACAACTCACAAAGGAGGCGGGGGTAACATGTCTAAGCTACCGGGAAGCCAACTGCAAGAACTGTGATGTCCAGTGTTGTACATACCGCGAGATAAAACGATATAAAACCAGACCATCTTTCTCGTCTGGTGCAACTATTTTCCTCAAGTACCACTCTTGATCCTTATGAACATTAGTCCATACGTTGCATATTCCCAAACCCGACACATTAATACATAGGCCGAACGGCTTCTGATTTTAAAATGGGCATCAAGACGAACATCACTCTCCATACTGAGGGAACTCTCAACGGCCTCAAGCCTACCATTCTGCTGGCGGAGCTTGATCTGGAATACAAGGTGAGGAGAAATAACCACCTAATACGTTTCACAGGAGACAAGAAATATCTGGGAGTCTCACATTTATGATATTTCTGCAGCTCGTCACGATCGACATTGTTGCCCAAGCGAACAAGAAGCCCTGGTTCCTCAAGATCAACCCCAACGGCCGGATCCCGGCCATGAGTGATGTCGATGGATTTGGCAGGGAAATACGCATCTTCGAGAGCGGTGCTATTCTGGAATACCTCGTGGCCCGTTATGACAAGGACAACAGAACCTCGTATCCCTACAACTCTACAGAGTACTGGGAGACAGTGTCCTGGGTATGTTGTGGTTGCTCCACTGTATTCTTACGAATGCTGTTCGCCGTCAGTGACCTGAATCCATCCGCACTGACGTATATCTAGTTGACGTGGCAGATGGCTGACGTTGGTCCCATGCAAGGACAAGCAAATCACTTTGCCAGTAAGAAGTCCACAGAGTGCGCCCAGTGTGAAGTTTCCAGAAGTCTCAGCTGGCCATGCCCCCACCTGATAGGATCTGCTGGCAAGGAGGTGCCTTACGCACCAAGCCGCTACGTCCACGAGACCCGTCGTTTGTACCGCGTCCTGGACGCTCATTTAGCCCAGAGCGCCTTCGGCTACATCATTGGCGATCGCGTTACCATTGCTGACATTGCCATCTGGCCCTGGGTTAGTGCCTACAGTAAGTACACTCTTGTGGAAGTGTGACTCATTCAGCGTCACTGACGTGGTACTTTCCCGCTCCTCTGGCACAGAGTACAGTGCTCTGTCTACGATTGACGATTTCCCTCAAATAAAGAAGTGGTTGTACCTACTTCTACAGCGCCCCGGTTTTGAGAAGGGTCGAAACGCCCCCGGCCCTCACAAGATGGACGATGTGTCCGAGCAGGAGCTCAACGACATAGCAGCTCTACTGGGTACTTGGATAAGTGATGCTATGAAGCGCGATGCCGCGGCCTGAACGACATAGGATGCTCAATAGCCATGAACCTACCTACAGAGAAGGCAAATAGGAAGGTCGTTGAATCTCAATGATCTCTAAGATTCAGCTTCAAGTCTGGCCTAGTTGAGTTGTCAAATTGCAATAGTTTCATAACCGACGATGGAAAGGAACTAGTTGAAAAACAAACGCAACTGTCGTGTCGTCACCATTTCAAATTTTTTTCGCCAAACACTAATTAATCCAAGTGTTTCAATGGTGGTCGCGCCACATTCATACGTAGCCCAATTCTCCGAGTACTTCATCCTCCAGCTTCTCTTCCTCGTCCTTCGTAAGAGGTGGAATTTCTCCCGCGTCTTCCATTCGTACCCAGCCGCTCCTCGTCTTCAAAGTCAGTACCAAGCACTCCCACTAAAGCCGTTTCGACCGGAAATTAACCCCCGCATTCTCCGGTACAGCCTTGTCATTCGATTTGAAAATCACTTTCAAGGCTTTGATGAGTTTGTCCTGCACACCTCCAGCCGGTACCAATGCGGCTGTCTTCTCCTTGAAAAGCCGATACCAGCTGAAGAAAAGGTTGTTAGACCCGAGGTAAGGATCCTTGATGCCGAAATCATAGGCAAATGGGAACACACCAGGCATCTCCCAGTCGATGATGGCGGCAACCTCATACCATGGGCTCCCACCTTCATCTGAGCCGTTATTCCTGACGAGTACCTAACGTTTCGCGGCTCAAGGTCGTTATGGCAAAGCACGATGTTGTCATTGAGTTCATTGAGATCTGCGAGGCTAAACTCATCGCCGCCGAGATCATCGTCAGTGGTGGTAATGGCTAGTTCACCAGAACCTTCCGTGATTTGGCAGATGAACAATTCTTTGGCTTCGGGATAAAGAAGGATCTCTAGAGTGGGTCTGATGGACGAGTGATAGCCAGTCTCCGGGCCACCAAATCGTCTTTTGGACGAAGGCGTCGAGTCTCCGTCCGTGTTGTGCTCCTGGAGGACATTGTCGTCCTGCAAATGCACACTCTGAAAAGTTCGAATAGCGCTGACAGCAGAGTTCATCAGAGCTTTCTAATTGTCGTGTTGAAGGTCGCTCCAAACATTCTCCGTTGTGCCAAGCACGAATGGGTGATGGAATACATCAGCTGATTTCCATGTTCGTCATGGGTCACGCCAACCTCCAGGATGGCAGGGATCAGGTTTGGTGTCTCTATATGGCACAGCCTCTGTAAGTGCGCGACCTCATGCAGCTTTCCTTCATCCTTCTCAAGGCGAATGAGCAGATCACATCACATATTGAAAGGAGCAAAAAAGAATTGTCCCCGGTCAGACTCGAACTGACGACCAACAGCTTAAGGATACTACGCTAGGGCTGAGGATAACATAAGACTGCTGCTCTACCGACTGAGCTACGGGGACGTATTATTGATGGAAGAGATGATCAGATCAGTACTTGAAGGTAAGTCTGTGATTCTCATATGAAGTCAAGTTCTCAAGGTAGACTGCTCAAAGGGGCAAATGCACCTTGAGGGATCGAGAGTCGGCAGGACCTTGCATGTGAGTTGGCGAGGGGAATTTGTGTCAGCCTAACTTGGGCTAGACGACAGAACCCCCTGTAAGTCGGTCAAGATTTGAGATGACACTTATAAAAATGTTTGCCAAACAAAACAACAAACGTCCGGCGAGGTTATGTGGGCCTTTCTGCTCCTTACCTCGCCAAAAGACTTGAGTTTCTTCAATGAAACGCTGAAGTCGTGGTCTGATTAAGCCAGGCAAAGCGCAAGTGCTCAGATAGTCTGCCACAGCGGCCCACAAAGAAAGATGTAATACATCATACCTATCCTGTATGAACTATCACTCTCTACATAGAGACAAGATGCGTTCAACCAGAAACCACGAAGCAGGGATACTTCTGAAGGTCAGCCCTTTGACGGAATCTCCCTCATATGGTAATATTTACTCCACAAACTTACGTACCTCGTTCAGAGCGGGCCACTCTCCTGTTTTTCCCAGCGGGAAAGGATGGAATGTTTTGCGACAAGGGCGAAGATATGGTCAATGATGAGGACAACAGAAGTGACGGCGTAGATGATATAGAAGGGAGCATGAAAACTAGGGATAAAGCGATGGAATGGTAGTACGGTGTCCCTCTCGTTGCAAGCTGATTGACGCATTTGTCCAAGGAGCAGAGATTGTTACTTGGAGCCGGCCGAGGTGCCGTGTTTGCTTCTTTGTACTAAGAAAGTCTCTCGGTCCAAAGCAATGTTCTTGTTAGAACTCGCACAGGGTTCGTACAGCTTCGAGAGAAATTGCCATCAACATTTGATTACATTATTTGGTAGTAACTTACACCAAATGTTGCATGAGTGGGGACTGGAAAAGGGAGACTATGATTGAGCCTACGCGTTCGCTTTCGGCAAATCACTGCTTTATTCGATACCTAAAACAAAACCTGTGAAGATATCACCGGTATCCTGGTCCTACACTTTCAGACTTGATTTTCTGAGTTTAGCCACAGGCTTGGGACATCTATTCCCTGCCTGGTCGTACATATTGACTGCTATCCATACGTTGGCGATGAATGCGGAGCAATGGTTAATGGTAATCGGCGCGTGAGGCATTGGAAAGACCCCTAACTAGCTCTGGCTTCTATGCGCGTTGTGTTGTCAGTTGAATAGTATGAAAAGCGGAGGTGTGGGTGTTGCAAGTTGGAACGATCTTTTTGCACAACTGCGAAAGCGACCGCGACGTATGTATTGCAAACAGCGTCGTGTAGGAGCCAATCTCCTTGAGCTTCGTCGCTTTGTGTAGATTGTGCAAGCTGATATACGTCATATTTCGCTCTAAGCGGCTGGTTTGGGGGAGACGGGGACGTGACTTCGGACCCTTTTTTGGGAGATTGCCGATCCTCCTCCGTCGGGGTCAGGCGGATTCCATCTTATTCGGTTTCGGCTTCGGCGGTAGTGCTCGTATCCGTAGTGTGGTTCATCTGAACCTAAATCTGTACTGAGATGGGACCACTTGTCAGCAGGGGCTTGTAACGTCTCCACTAACACCCTTGTGCCATCGTTTTCGGATTCGGGTCAGCTTGACTCTTCGTTGAGGCTGTGTTAACGCCGAGCTAGATCATAAGGTCCTTGGCCATGCGTCGCAGACATCTTGCCCAAGTGCCTTTGGCATCTCTTAACAATATTTACACCCGTCGGTCGCAACGAGTATGTTAATTACGCAAGTTGAAGCTACAGGGTTATAGGGATTGTTAGATTTCGAACCTAGTCAGAATTTCTTCGATTCTTATCCGCTGTTACCGCAGTACGCCGAGGTAGAATGGCCGTCATGAACAAGCATCATCGCAGTGTTACTTTTCGCGCATTAGAAGGTTTTGACGTACAACTTACTAACGCATTGCTGGAACCATTTTTTCGTTCTAATCACACTACAAACTGAAAACCAATCGCGACCTGAATTATTCATTAACTCCTCGTGAGTAAATCGGAAGGGCAAAACACGTCTCCCATCTTATGCTTCTGTTGCCTCAATACCCCAGTGTCATACAGCAACGTGACGATGCGAGAAAAGAAAGAAAGCGGCCGGTACTCATCATCCTCGTTAACCAAAGACTCAAAATGCACTTCTCCGGTGATGCCGGACTCTGCGTGGGGCTTTAGGAACTTAACAGGGGGGTTCCTACCGACGAATGACCAGCCACGCTCCTTTACCAAACGGTCGCGGTCGCGAGATCAAGGTTTGTAAATAATACAATAGCTTTTGGATCATGATTAATATATGCTGGGCGGTAAGCATGCCAGTAGGAGATCAACGCACAATGTGATTCAAGACTCCGCGCCTGGCAACTAGAGACCTTCTACTGGCCCCTTGCAATTCCCTTACGGGTAAACGGCGGGACCTCTTGTAAACCGAGAAACTCTATTGATGGATTCCCCTCACCTTTTAACTTGACTTTCACAAGTCCTTAGGACTATCCTAGTTACTCTGGCTCTGCGTGATGACACACTTCAAATGGGTAGATTTACGAATATATAAAGCAGTCTAAATTTGTCAACACATCCACAAACTACGAGCCTCGAACACCCACAACTACCACAACCACATCAACTGAGACATTTTAAGAAATAACGACAAAATGAAGCTTCAAACCGCTCTCGCCCTCCTCTTTGCCTCCGTGGCCATTGCAGTTCCAGGCCAAGGCCAAGCGGGTAGCAATGTGCTTGCCCGCAACCCTCAGAGGGGCCCTGTGCGCCCATCTGGAAACTGCTGCTCGTACATCCCCGGCACATGCAATTGCGGTTGCGTAAGTAATCCCACGACTTTGCACATCAGCGATCATCGTATGCTAATTTCAGTGTGACAGTGCTCAGGTGTATGTAACGGGTTGAGGAAACAGCTGTCTCGCACTGCTTTTCTTCCTTTTCTTTTTTCAGTCTGGCTCAAGAAGGCTAACATATATACACTCAGGGTCCTTGCGCCACCAACGACGATCCTAATGCTACCTGCCCTTAGACTGAAGAGGTTTTGATTCCACTGTCCTATTGAATGGACAAAAGTTCATTGGACCTTTTGCCTGGGTGGCACTTGCATGGAAACTGGGGAATGATTGGCAAGATCGCGAGAAGAAAGGTTCTTTTGTGCTTGTGCCTCACTTGGGTATGCGTGGTTTCGGCGTGAAGAGAGTCAATGCACAGTCATTTTGAGGATCATCCAGTATCAGCATTCAGCACAATTGCTTACCAACGGCTCAAACCTGAAAATAAACTTTCATCCCTCTCGATTCTGTCATACATATCCCCACACAGTCTATGCCTTCAAAAGCTTAGTGCATGAACGGCCTTGAGAGTCGGCATGTAGGCCAATCCCCTACGTCCGCAACAGCAACATAGTCACATCCACCTTAGTTTCTCTCATGTCTTACGCCAACAAGCAATTAAGGCGGCAAACCTGTCACGGTGGCTTGAAACCTATGGTAGCTTCCCTCCGTACCGAGAATACGCGCTTGATTTTATGAGCTTGGGAGAGGTACTCCGTACATATCAGTCCTTGCGGCCTTGGAAGTCCAGCAAACCTTACTTGCGCCACAATGCTGCCAGACAAAGACATCAACGGGCGAGAAACAAGTGCTGCCAGCATTATGTTGCTTGCAGAGCCCACTCGACTCATCACCGCCAACCCATCCGTCGTCAGTAGCACCGTTCACTGTTCCTTCGATAGCGTGATACTATCTGGAATTAGTAGTGTACTGGTACTCGAGGAGCAACGCTTACGTATGAGCCATCGTGGGGGGCATTGTGGAGTTTGATGTACCACCAAGCTTCACCTATTGGAGACTGTAAGAGAAGATCGGAACTCCCGCACAGCTTGTTGACTTACTGTACACAAATCGTCCATCAGAACCGTTGACAACGGCCTTTGTGGCTTCATCGTCAATGATCATGCCTGCAGGAGGCTGATCTCTGACACAAGCGCAAAGACGGTGCTTATCAGCATTGGCAACAACCGCCCTGCTTTAGACTTAGTATTTGGTCATTGAGAAACAGGGACGTTACTATACATCATAAGGACTACCAGGAAGCCAAAGGTCTTTGCCATTGCTAAGTTCGAGTTTGAACAGATAGGAATGGATGTATGAAGACGGCGAGAAAAGGAATATGGTTCGATAGACGGCGCCGACCGAGGTAGAGGAAACCCATCGAGCTTTAAATGTTTATCAGTAGCACTCTACTTACTGCAGGAAACCAGTCAAATTAGTTCTTCTTTCTCCGGCAACCGTCAATCGGTCTGCCCGACATCCCGCCGGCTGCTGCAAGGCTCTGAAGCCCCTGTGCCGGGCTGGGCTAACTAGCATAATGATTGGCTCTACGAAATAGTCTTCTTTCGACTAACGAAAATGTCCAAGCACTCTAGAATTAGGGTAAAACTGGGTCATGTCATGGCTAAGACGTCTTTGCGTCTGGCGGCAGCCGGTGGGATAAAAGCAGATGCCACGGCACCATCAAAACGGCCGACCCGATGATTCTATCTCACACTTCCCCAAGCACTTTTAGAAGCAAGGGAAGTTCTTATCATTTCTCCGACCAAAGCACCCCCCGGCAAGTGCACCGCTGGCTTGGACTTTGCGACCAAAAAGCACATCAAAGTAGCCAGGGGGTGGCTCAATCCTTACCAGTACTTAGGATCTTCGAGTCAAGGGCAGTGAGAAAGGGTAGTAGGGCAATACCGAATGTATTCCTGGCCGGCGATCACTACACTATCCAAACTGTGCCCCTGTCTTGTCACGCAGCATAGAGTAATGCTCGATGACTAAACGACGCAGCTCTTCTGTATCGGTGCTGAATCTGGAAGAATTGAAGCCACTGTCCAGCCCAGGTTTGGCAGTCCTACCATGCTCATCATCGCGAGCTCACCAAGGGACCAAATAGGTAGTCGATCAATCAGTCCTGCCAGAGGTACAACATGACTTCATGAACATGCGGGCAAACCCGCGGAAAGGTTTGCCCACGTTCCCACTGTATGCAACCGTTGAAAGCGCTGAAGATTATGTTTCAGGGATAGCAGGAGAGACTTTCAAGGGGGTTTGCTTGACCGACACGAGAGCCGCATTATCTTCGGTCGTTGAAAACCTGTAAGATAGGTTTCGAGATGCGATGGGACCACACTGAGGAAGGGCTACTGAGAAACGGGAAGAGTGGAGGAGATGAGTCAATGATGCTCGAATAGATTGTAAGTCTGAAATGTGATCAACAAACCCCCTTAACAGAATCTCCAAGCTCGTTCTTTTCATGGATCAGGAAGTTGATCATGCAATGACTCCAGATGCTTTCTAAATGACCCATGGCCTGGAGACACCATTGGGGAAGACGAGAGCCCTAATATTGCTGCGCCTGTGAAGTTGCATAAGAGTGCCAGCTACGAAAAGGAAGTCATATGGTTCATCTCGTTAAATGATGGTTGGGCTATCTTCATTTCAGTCGATTACGTCTGTCTATTCTCATCTGGCGTACGCCTCAAGAAAGACGGTTCTACAGCATGGAAGCATTCTGACTATTCGTTAATCCGGTGCAGTATGAGGACCTTCTGACCGATGAACTCCGTTGCTTCTGAGGGCGACAAACAGCGGGGACTGCTTTGTGTAGAGGTTATTTAAGTCATGGTTCCCGCTCTATCTTAACAAACCGCTACTTAACAGACTGTCTATGATGGCACGTGTGAGAACCTGAGAGATTTCAAGGACATTTAGATAGGGTGGGCGAGAGATATCTGGCTAGCCGCGCGTGACGGCCTGTCTCGGGGCCTACAGAGCAATCCACATGATATACGCCGGTAGGATTCGACAGCCTGTGTTGTCGTAAGTTCAGTCACTGGTGCCAATTTATATCAAAGAGGGTGGCGGTCTCTTACTTTTCTGTCGGTGGCGTATGTGGAAGTCATATGATGCGACGTTTGTGACCTGCGGGAGTGATCACCAATTCGTCCGTTCGGCGTCCGACCTGGCCACTGGATCTAAAGAGGAACCCGACGCCATTGCAGTCTCGCCCGAGCTGGACTGCGTATTTGAAGGATTTGGCTGCGATGTTGTAACCCTAGAACCTGGGGGAGCAATATTGGCAAGTTCAGCAAGTACATAAGAGGCACGTCGGTCTCCCTTCGACTCGGTGTGTTGTCTTCCTTACCCAATTCTGTTTGCCTTTCCAACTTAGGACTCAATTATTGAGCGTCTACTGTTTCTCGACAGATGGATTTTCAAGTAGCCGACTTTACGATGTGGGTGCTTCGCACTCCGACGGGCGTCGGCTCACTTGAGTTGCAGACAACGTCAATGTCATTTTCTCTTGGGCCAAGAGATGTGCTTGTTCGAATTCGCGCCGCGTCGTTGAATCCTCGTGACTTGGCCAAAATCAATGTGGGCGCACTCCATTCCAATGAATTACAGACCCTAACCGGCAGCAAGGGCTCGGAAAGGTAAAGTGGGATCTTTTTGTGAGGTCTGGTCCTCGGCTAAGAATTCCTTTATTCAGCACCTGCATCCGACACCTGTAAAAGAATCGCTTATACCAGGGTCAGACGACGCCGAGATTGTCCTGGAGGTCGGCTCGGATGTTCATGATTTCTGCGTAGGGGACAACATTGTTACGCACATCGCTACTCACTTATCAGATGAGGCATTCGCAACGACGGATGACATGATTCAAGGATTGAGTCAGCAAAGGGATGGCACTTTATGCGAAATTGGTGTCTTTAGCGACACCGCTCTGGTTCGGATGCCGAAAAATTTGTCATTTGAGGAAGCTGCAACTTTGACCTGCTCCGGCCTGACGGCATGGAACGCCTTGTTCGGACACCCGGGCAAGGTGGTGCACGATGGCGATCACGTTCTTGTGCAAGGAACCGGAGGCGTGAGCATCGCTGCTTTGCAGGTACGTAAGGCCATGTCCTGCATTGCATCCTGTGTGTCTTGCGGCGTTGGATCGGGCACTGATAATTGCGAACGAATAGCTTGCAGTAGCAGCCGGTGCAACAGTCGTAGCTACAACAAGCAACCAAGAAAAGTCGAGTCGCCTGAAAGAACCTGGCGCTTCACACGTAATCAACTATCGCACAACCAAGAATTGGGGTTAGGCTGGTCGGGATCTTACTCCAGAGTCTCGGGGAATGGATCACGTTATCGACATAGGCGGCTATGCAACCCTCAGTCAGTCTATTCTTGTCACGCGTCCTGGTGGAGTTCTGAGCGTCGTCGGAGCCTCTGGCGGATTTGAAGGTGAGCGGCCTGATATTTTGAAAGTTCTTTTTCGCGGGGTTTCTCTGCGAGGGATTGTCGTGGGAAACAGATAGATGTTCCGAAACATGGTTGAATTTATAGAGGCGAAGAACTTACAGTCGGCGGTGGATGGTGTGACGTTTGCGCTAAAATATCTGAAGGCGGCGGTTGAGAGGCTCCGGAAAGGGGAGCACTTTTCCAAGATTATTCTCAGGGACTAAGATTCTTTATTCCGGCTCCAGTTCATTACTTTCCATTCACACGTCGCAGAGACGTCAAACCTTTGACTCGGCCCGCAGTTTTCCTAACGGCCTTCAGATGATCACTGACAAATCCTAAAAGCAACGCCAAGGATTGTCACCGCTTGGGGTATGCTTATACATCATTTTGACTCGGCACTGACATAACCGGCGACATTGGCGTAACTGGCGTAAGCATGTCAGCCTCACCCTCTCTTCACCCCGCCTTCCGTGGCAAAGACACATAGTATTTATATCAGCCGGATATTCAGAGTAAAACAGCAGCATGAATGAATTTACCATTGGATCGCTACCTGATTGTACATTTGCTCCAATGGCCCCCGCGACGCGTCTTCCTCATATCCCTTCCGTTGGCATTGTCGCCCCGGCGTCAGACATATGCCAAAAAGCTTTTGACTTTTGTAAAGCAAATTGCGACACAGATATCCTCAATCACGCGGTTCGTGCGGCCTACTGGTCGCTCATTATCTCGCAGAAGCAGCCAAACTTCAAAGGTGCAGAAATTGATATGGAAGCCGTTGTCCTGAGCTGCATACTGCACGACATGGGATGGTCGGAGATCCCAGAACACCGCTCTGAAGACAAAAGATTTGAAGCAGATGGAGCCAATGTTGCCCGCGACTTTATCAGAAATCAGGATGGTGGTACAGAAGGGTCATGGACCGAAGCCAGAATCCAGCGATCTTGGGACGCATTTGCATTGCACGCGACACCATCCATCGCACGACATGCTGCGAAAGAAGTTACACTGGTGCAGATGGGTGTGCTAACGGACTTCTTCGGGCCGAGGACTCATGAAGTGGCCGGCGGTCCAGAAGATTTGATCACTGTGGATGACTATCATGCCGTGATGCGGGTGTTTCCCAGGGCTGGGTTTGAAGGACAAAGCCTGAGGAAAATACTGCGTCATCTTTGCCGTACGAAGGCCGACACCACGTTTGATAAGTGGGTGGGTGATTTTAGGCTTACCTATGGGACGGATGGAGAAGGGGCGAACCTGGAAGGGTATAAGCAGGGGTGGGAGAAGGCACGGTCGGCCTCGATGTTGACGAGCGCCTTGAAGTCCTTAGTGGCCCTCGATAAGCAAGCCTAGAGAATAGCGAAGAGGGCTCTCTCACTCGGAAGCCGAATTTGCACGTGGAAGAAGACGTCTGCATGTTCCTGCGATCAAGAAGGAGAGACCTTCAACGAGACCTTCGAGTTTCTATGTCGTTCATGTCGTCCCTGTCGCCTCCAGCTGGTTCTGGTCATCTCAGTGCTTTCAACGCCATAGAAAGTTCTCTACATAGGTATCAAGGCATATGTGGTTGTTACCGATTATAGGTCGGAAGGCACCCTTGAGATTGTACAGCGCCTGAACAGCCAAACGCTTATCATCGTTGTGATGAAGATAGAAAACAACCATACACTCAACAAATAAAAGGGGACGCCTCAGCATATCAGGCTACTTCAAACTGTTCCAAATTCAATACTGCTCTAGAGATCTCAAGAGATGAATTGATTGTGCCAGACCCACACACTTTGCCAGCTTAAGAGATAATCTAGTACTTCAACTTGGTCACAAGCTTCCCTGTGTTTCCTCCCAAATACAGCATCATCCAAGTGCGAGGTATCTCTTCAAAAGATGAGTCAACAACCATCTCACTCTCATCGGCAATGACAATCGTTCCCTTCTTCCACTCCTCGAGAAGGATAGCTCGAACCTCGGGCAGATGCTCAACCCAGTCGAGGTTAATGAACCCCGTGATTTGCAAACGCATTGCAATGACTTCCTGTAGTTGAATCAGTACGAGAAGTCAATTTATAGAGGATATTACACGTACAAAATAGTTTTTCAAGCCAACAGCATTGCCGTCACGATTGTAGTTGGAAATAGATCCACTGGGATGATAAGTTAGACTTCGGGGTGAAGTAAGAAAGTGATTATGCCATTGTGACAACTCACCAAGCTGCGACTCGGCCAAATTTGGCCAGCCTGGTCAGCATAAAGTCCAGGATCTCGCCGCCAACGTTGTCTGGACTCAAGTTAGTTACGAGATCTGCAAGCCTTAGATGGTAACTAAGAATATACCGAAGTAGATTTCAACAAATCCCTCGGTCTCCTTTGTGAGCTGCTGCTTGAAGGCGTCGGACTTGTAGTTCAGGCAGATGTCGGCTCCTAGCTTCTCGACCCAGCGACACTTTTCATCGCTGCCCGCAATCCCAATCACCTGTGGAACACGAAAGGTCAGTCAATTGCTATACCCCGATTATGACCATAGAGCACAGCGAAACATACCTTTCGACATCCAATCATCTTCTTTGCAATCTGAACTGCCATTGTACCCACGGCGCCTGCCGCCCCGCTAATGACAATTGCCTCTCCCTTCTTGGCCTTGACAATTTGCGTAAGAGCGTAGTACGCCGTATGTCCAGGCAGACCCAGTGCGCCAAGGAAGTGTGTGATAGGTAAATCATGCTGGGGCTCAATGATCGCAACATTCTTGGCGTCGTCGATTGAGTATTCGGTCCAGCCAGGGTTACCGGACACCAGGCTCCCCACAGGAATATCGGAGCTGCGAGATTCGACAACCTCTGCGATGCCCATGGACTTCATGACTGCGCCAACATCCACAGGCGCCAGGTAAAGGCGCTCCGGACTGGCGAAAGGAGAGATCCAGGTACGTTGAGCAGGGTCATTGCTGAGGTATTGAGTCCTTAGAAGAACCTGGCCATCCTTGAGAGGGGGAATATCGACTTGGGACTGAACAAAGGTTGGCTTGTCTCCCTCTAGAATCGGTTCGCCGAAGGGCTTCTCACGCAGAAGCCACTGCTTTGATGCTCGCGGGGTGCTCATATTGAGTTTGATGTGACTTGCAAAGTAGATAGTTGATGACTATCAAGGACAGTATGTTGAGGGCGCCAGAGAGCCGCAAAGAATTTGTAGTTGTCGGAGGGAGTGCTTTGTCATGTTGCACGACAATGCTTCACAACTGATCATCGAAACTACAATTAACTTGCAATCGTATGACGACAGAATGGGCATCTACCCAGTTTTCCCCTGCTTCTGGGGTGGCTGACTTGTCTCATTGGCTCACGAAGCCATGCATAGCCGAGCACGACCCAATTGGTTCACTTACAGCAGACAGTGCTGGCAGCCGGTGGGATAGGAACAACTAAATCCAACAGAATAAGTGGGAAAATGGATGAATAATCCCAATCCACGGAAGATGAATTCCACATAGCGCCCCGCGTACTACCATTCGATCGAGGTCCCCGCTGTTATCCTGGAAGTCATTAATCATCCTGCACTGTTGCCCTCGATACGGGCAATTATAAGGAGATATACCAATGCAGGAAATTACATTCACATCTTCCAGTAAATGCATAGTAATTCGTGAGTGCCAAATGCGCATTGCATAGCCTGGAGGTCGCAACTAAACAGGTTCCTTGCGCACGACACTGGTAATATTCAGCTCCTCGACCAGATAACTCATCACATGTTGACGATCGACCCTTGCCGATTTTATTCTCCTATTCCCGCCCAAAAGTCTGTCCTTGCCGACCCTACTCTTGTCTGAGCAGGCAACATTGGGAAGTTGTTGGGCCGATGATGGGCTTGCAAGTTATTGCTAGAAAATACAAGGTAAACGTGAAGGCTTGAGACTCGTTGAACACATCGTTAAGTCGTGAATGTACCGCGTGGTCACAGTGTGAAATCTCGATTCAGGGAAGGTAGCAGGGTGCTATATGTAGTCAAATGTTGACAGCGGAGGTTGCAACCCTGATGCTCTCTTCCGTCGAACGGAAAGTGGGGGGAGGTTTCAGACGCAATGTTGGGGTTCACTTAGAATGTAAGCTTTACACTCCGAGAGCGAGACCGAGATTTAAGTCCGTAAATTGCTACACCATTGGTCAGGCGAAGTGTAGAAAATATAGATTGAGTGAGGCTTGGGTTCATGAACCTTAGTGTCCACCCATCCGGCTGTAGCCAAGATTGGTCGTAGCAGGCGGCCCCACGCGGAGCCGACTGCGGCAACATCGCCGGTTGACACCGACATTACGTGCTGGCCATCAGTACTGGGACTAGAAAGTATTAGCATAAGAACAGAAACCTAACTCTGCAATAAGATTGACACCCCTCACATCTAGGCGCCAATCCAAAAGTATCATGGCTTCTGTGAGCACAGGCATTATCAATTTCGAAGGTATGTAACGGCTTGATTGCCAACAAATGTTTTGGTGTTTGGATTATTCAGATGCAATTGAACAGACTACATGGGTGTTTCGGCAGCTCTTTTCGAGTGGGCAGAAAGCTATGATACCAAAGATTGGGACCGTCTGCGAAAATGCGTCACTCCTGAGTTGCGAGTAAGTTTCCCGCTCTGCTCAACTGACTCAGACCAAATCCGTTGCATGTATAATATCGTACTTGGAAGGCCAAAGCGAAAGGCACTAACAGACCATCTTTCAAACAGATAGATTATCGAGACGTGATAGGAAAGCTGTGGGAATCTATGCCGGCCGCAGACTATGTTGCCATGATTTCTAGCCCGGCGGTCCTAGGAAACCCGCTTTTGAGGACGCAACACTTTGTCGGTGCCACAAAGTGGGAAAAGATCTCTGACACAGAGATTCTTGGACACCATCAGCTACGTGTACCCCATATCAAACTTTCTGATGCGAGCCCGCCGGTTGAGGAGAAGAAGGGTCACGCCCACAGCTACAATCAGCATTGGTATCGAAAGATAGACGGTGTTTGGAAGTTCGCTGGTCTGCGCCCGGAAGTAAGATTCGGCGAGTACGACATGAAAGGCATTTTTGAAAGCGGGCGGCAGTCGGTAGCTTCAGAGTAGACTCGACTAGCTATTCAAATCTTCCCTAGACAGGATAATGGAAACAACAAACATCTAATCCAGACCAACTGTGCCTGACTTTGCCGTGCACTTATTCTCACGGCCTTCGGAGTGTCTGAATCCAACAAGAGCCCCGCTTGGTGTTCGATTAGAACTAGACAACAATTACTACTGGGGAGGACTACAAGAGAGGGAGACGGAGGGAGAGAGGTGGCCACAAGGAGAGCCTATCGCAAAAGACCCGGGACCCTTGGAACTATGCTCAGTTTATCCTGGAACAAGCAAGAGACTCTGTGGTATGAACAAGTGGATTAGTCAATCGTAATTAACTGCGAATGATCCGCCAGTCATAGATGATGACAGTCGAAAGCGAACACAACACGGCTGCAAATAAGAAATTTCAAGATATATGTTTTACTTTTGACGGTTGAAGGCGTCTAGTTAAAGGTAGACAAGCTTTTTGTAAGAAGAAATGAAGAGACGGCGATGACAACAGCAATTCTAGGACTCCGCTCGCTTGGGCAGAAATACTCCCCCATCCAAGCGGCAGAAGTCTCCTTCTGCTCCCTAAGCAATTACCGCGTCACACTTAAGCATTGTTGAGAACGAATTAGGAGTTTATTGAGCCGCCATGGAATTGTGCCTTAATACCTCGCATGTTCGGGCGCTACCAACGTCCCGGATGCCGGGTCTAGAAATTGCAGTTCTCGCCTACCTTAAGTCCCCGGATTCATGACTCGACAACTCGAAAAACTCACGCGAAAAACAAACATGATTCGTCTGCACGTCTCATCTTGATGCAAGTCTCCAGAACTCGCCTTGCAAAGCCCTTGTATTCTTCCACTCACAATACTTTAATTCCTAAAGACACGGAGCTATCCAGATTCCCAATGGGCGGGTAGCGAGTAGAACCCGGCGACTCTAGCTGCGGTGGAGAATCCTATTCGGCACCGACAGACAAGCCTTCAGACGAAGGCTAGATTAAGGTTTTCCCCCTTTATTTGTCGTAATAAAGTCAGGGTATCACATTGGTGGGGTTAGAGCGACGAACTGGTATATCTTCCACCAAACTCTCCATTCTAGGCTGCCGGTGGGATGTTGTTTTGATCAGTCATTCATTCATTTTCACATTCACTTCAGTCACTCTCTTTCATTATTCCCATCATGATTTTGCCCCATCTCGCTGTGCGTGCACTCTCCGCATCGGTGCAGTGCCCAGTCGTCCTTGATGGACGTATCTCGCAAAACTTCACACTTGAAAACTTCGACACGAACGTTTCCCCTTACAACCCAGGCTTCACCAAGGGCTCCGACCCTTGGTCCAAGATCATTCTCTTCCCCACCGTTGCGGCCCCATCCCGCTTCGATGCAGCCGCCTCCGCCAATGCCACCAGCGGAAGTGGGTTCAAGCCCCTGGAGGTGACGATCAATGACCGCTCCATTTTCAACCCCCCACCCGGCAAGAACCCACAACTCGGCTTCCGCCGAGCGGGTCTCCTGCTTGGCAACGGCTCCGATGCGTCCAACCAGGGCGTCATGACGTTTCACTGGTCTGCCATGCAAGACTCTGCACGCAAGCTGAATCTCACGCACGAGTATCTCACCTCGTTCCACGAAACAAATGACTCTGGCGGTGCACAGTTTGCGCTGCAGGTGGGACTGCCATTGGGCCAGAATGGAACAGAGCCGCCGAAAGAGAACTGGAAGATGTTGGATCGGAACAACAGCGTCGTGTTTACGACGCCGTTGAAGTTTGATACATGGCAAAATTGGGCTGTTACGCTTGATGTGCCGCAAAAGTAAGTACACGTTGTCGTGTGATCGTGATGGACGGCATAACTCACCATCTTGCAGCACGATGCAAGTCTTCTTCTCCGAGGGAAACGAGCCGTTGAAGGCTGTCACCAAGATCCTCCCGAACAACAATGCTGGCGGTGGTGCGCTGCAAATTGGCATGTTGAAGAAGCCGACCGAGACGAAGACGGTCGCAAACGACGGGTTTCAGGAAAGCAATCTCAACGAGGGACAAATTTTGGGCGGCATTTTTGTTGAAAACAGTGCCAACGGTTGCATCTCGCTGTGATAGGAAGTATTTGATGGGATGGTTGCGAAGAGCTGGCGTGACCAAACGGAAATGGAGTTCGTCGCATCGCCAATGAATGGATGAATCCCTGCGTATGCCACTCATTCCCGGATAGGCCCAGGGAGGAGGGATCTCGAGAGTCGAGGGAGAATCCCAGTGTGCACATACGCACGTGTTCCCCTGGCCGCGTATCCGGCTGCATACATAGCCACCAGCCCCTCTTATTTTCTTCCACTTTCTCCTGCATGTGTTCCACTTGAACCAGGTAGAAAAAGCAAAACTTCACCGTTCGGGCGTTTGTAGTTACATGTGGCCAGTCATTGAAGAACGTTATGAAACGTTGGTTGACCAGGAGTCTCCGAGACATTCCACCACATCACCTGTCTTGGCTTTCTGTCACCTGATTCCCCTGAAATTATTCCATTGTCTCGCGCAACCTTCGCCCAAAAGTTGGGAAGTGTCATTTGCGATGATGGTTGGCGTATGTTGTGTGACATGAAGATGGTTAGCATTAGAAAAACGATTCTCAGTTTTTCTCCATGGGCTTTTAGGCAAGTATCCGCTCGTCACTTATTTACGATGATTTTTGAATGTCTTATCAACAGGCAATTTCAAAAACAAACCTCGGTTTATTCGTATTCAGTCTTTGGAATGAAGGCGAAGAGGGTGCCAAAATGATCAGATGAGTGAGGCCCTTGGAGCAAAGACGGATACGCCTAGCTCAGGGGCCGGGGCTAGGTTCACATAGAATATTGCGCAGTCTTTTAATCCTTAATCCTATTCCTGCCGTTCTGGCTGGCGTGCTTGTCGTCTGTTCTGTTGTCTTAATGCTTGTCTATGTTGTACTTACATGAATTGATCTGAACAGTCCGAGATGACCGCCCCAACGCGGAAGCTTATGCTTGACGATGCAGATAATTCTCAGCCGTCGATCCCACCGGCATCATGTTCCCTCAGAGGATGGAAGTTCGATAGAACATCGTAGAAGGGCCTGGGCAGCCTGGCCGATAGGGAAGCCATAGTGATCTGAGACTTGAAAAATGAAAATGGAGTGCTAGCGCTGACAATCAGGCTAACATCACCACAAAAGCCTGATCATTGGCCTGGAGAAATGGAAGTGCCTTGCTCATCATACCGAGGTAGGTGAGAATTTAACGCCAAGAGAACGTCAGCTTGGTCATCAGCAGGGAATTAGATTGATTCAAACTAACACCACGAGAGCACTGTATGCCTGAAGCCGACCTCGACACCCCAATATGACCAGTAGGGATTATCGGTGATGATTCTTGTTTAGATAACATACCGAGGCTGCTAGAAATAGCATGATCTACCCCTGGGATTATGATGATCATTAAGTCACGGAGGGTGGTATGCTTATCTGCCGGGCCGTAGATTGACGACTTGTTTATGCCGACCGAGGTAAAATCCCGAGGCTACCCTGTTTTGTCGATAATGATTCAGGAACCTTGACGATAGTTCGATATCTTTCATCAAAATTCCACAGGCGCCGTTGTTGAAACGACCGATTGATTGAGTGAGGTCTTTCTGGACTGTCCAGATGACTTCTAGGTGCTCATAGTTCGTCGAGATGCCGCTACCAAAGGTCAAGATCCTTGCATAGATGCTCAGTTCAGGAGACATGTCGAAAATTATTAGATGCGATTGGCGCCCACCGAATCCTAAGGAATGATCCTTCCCGGCATCCTCCTTACAAGGTACCGACACAACGGCGCCGGGAGGACCCATCACCACGGTCCAGGCCAATCTAATGTAGACGACCGGTACATTCCCCAGTCTTTTTGTTGATTATTCGGTTAACTCGGACGTCCCCCCCAACGAACATGGCCTTCCCAGGGCGGCCTCCCCCATGTCTCCCCAGAGCTGGTGAGTCTTCTATGATGAATGGGCCGTTTCTGAGGTCATGGGTGATCGCCATAAGAAACAACCTGCATATGGAGGGTACTCCTGAAATCCATGAGATGGTGCGACGGTGAGCACCACGGCCAGCCAATCATTACGTCCGACGTTAGGTGGCGGCCAACGTCCAAGCGCCGTGTCACCGGGAATGTACATACGTCCGTCTATGCACGGCCTTGCCAATGTGATATGTCAGAGAGAGAGCAATGCACACGGGAAAGCCGTGTCAATCCGCACAGATGTTGCAAGACTGTTCCTTTGATTAGATCCAAGCTCCAGGACAAGACATTTGTGTCTACAAGACGAAGCCACCAATCATCATGAAACGGCAGGTCGCAAGAAACAACGTTTTTGGATGGACTAAGCTCATCGCCCCAAACATGGGATGGCGTTCGTGGTGGGCGTGGAGATGGATCCTGTTTTCTTCATGGATATTTCGAGTCTTAAGCCTCGGTCGAGGGAAGGGTGTTTCGAGGTATAAGAGATGGACTTAACGCCGCTTCATGTAGCTATCCGGAGACATCACCACCAACCACCCAGACTTCCAACCATTCAATCATTTACACTTCGGTGTTTGCACAATCTTTCGTTTCCAATTTCCACTAGCTGTCTGCCTTCGATCGCAAAAGTTCACTTCGACTTCAAACAATCACGCTCCTTTGACAAGACATTCGCTTCGATACCACATCAAACACCACCAAGACCATCAAAATGAAGACCGCCGCCATCACCACCGCTCTCCTTGCTGCTCTCGCTGCGGCCAACCCTATCGAGGTCCGCCAGGCTTCTGGCTGCAAGGCGTTCACCCTCCTCTTTGCCCGCGGCACCACTGAAATGGGCACTCTCGGATCCGTCGTCGGCCCCAGCCTCCAGACCAACACGCAGTCCGCGCTCGGTGCGGACCAGGTCAATGTCGAGGGTGTCGCCTATGCCGCCGACATGGGCGGAATTATGTCCGAATCCACCGGTTCCGGCCCCGGCAGCATCGCCATGGCCAACCAGGCCAACTCTTGGCTCCAGAAGTGCCCCAGCACCAAGCTCATCCTCACCGGCTACAGCCAGGGCGGCATGGTCGTCCACAATGCCGCCAAGAAGCTCAGCGGCAAGCCCATCGTTGCTGCTGTGACCTTCGGGGACCCTTTCAAGGGTCAGGCTGTTACCGGTGTTGCCACTGGCAAGTTCAAGAGCTTCTGCGCTACTGGCGACACCGTCTGCTCCGCTGGCGGTTGCGCTAGCTCCGGAGGATGCACCAGCACCAGCGCTAGCGGACACATTGGCTACGGCTCTGACACGAAGGCGGCTGCTGCCTTCATCAAGACTGCAGTTGCTTAAATGAAAGTCCGCGACAGGGTTTCAATGCCATGCAAACAGGAATCCTTGGAAGGACGATAGAGGAAGCTGCTGGTTCTGCGGCGCGGATACACGACTGGATTGGAAGTCTGGGACATTCCTTATTTCGATTGTATGGCTTACCTTCTATGTACATTATGATCCCTCAATAAAAACGGCTCTTCTCTGAGCGGTTTACAACCCCTAATTGATCTTGACCCCAGCTTCCTGCGAAGGCACTCCTGACCGTTAACTCAAAAGGCTGCATGTATCCGCAAATCGAATTAGATTCATCAGTTTTTCTGTGTCATGCTTATCCCTGTAGTATCTTCTGACCATCTCGTCTAACTTCATTCGAAGCCGCAGACAGCCATTAGTATACGCAGCGGATATTGAATGACAAGGCCTGACGGAAAATTTGACTCAAGAGGGAAAGCGTTGATCGTGGCGTTTCCGGTAGCTCGATTGGTTCTAGACTAACGTTTCTAGAGCTCGTAGTGCGATCCACGATGGATCGAACCCCCTTCTGCACGGCCCTCGTGTAACCTCAGCTGTTGCTATTATTTAACAAGTGGCATAATTTATATTGATGAGAAGTGAAAGCATTGTAGGCGCTTCATCCGGCCAATAATATTTCGAGATGGAGTTCGATCCAAGTCCAATTCGAACTCATTCTACAATGAGATGCGAAAAAGGCGGACTTGAACTCATAACTGGTTCGTCTTTCCGTATGTAGTGGTTTTCAGTCCCTGGTCTCTCCGATGGAAGCAGTAATCGTTGGGTCGTTGAACATTTGACTCGAGATCCCGCCACGCTTTATAGATGGATAAATTGAATTGAACGGCTGAAGGTTATGTTCAAATGATTCCCATTTCCTACAAATCATGGAACTGGTTATCACCAAACCTTCCTTGCTCAACTGTAGCTGATAGGGTGGAAAACGTTCTATCCGAGTGGAGAAAATTAACCATTTGGCCATTTGATACATTCGTAACATTTCTTGGAAAAGTGCGTGATGATACTGTTTCGTCTCCTCCTATGCTTCTGACAAACCGGTTCGCCATTGCATAGGTAAGGTATAGCCAGACCATCAACCGCTGCAGACTTGCTATACAGACTCAAATCTCTAGGTATTCGGGAGGATAGTGATAATAGGACAACAGGAATATTGGTGATGAAGACTATGAAAGCGACGAGGACGAAAGGCATGACACTTATGATAAATCCTTCTTTATTTTCATTATAGATAGTCTTTAGGCCGCCCAGCTTATTAGAACTATCTGAGATAGTTAATAAGAGTTTCCAGCAAATGAAAGCTTGAATGCTATCAATTCGACATCTCTATCTCTAAGGTTATGGCATATGCTCTTATTTGATTGAATGCGTTACGTCTGCGGGGAGCGCTAACACGAAGTTCAGTTTTATAATTGAAACTGGCTGAACGGTGTTTACAAAAATTTTTCTCTCAGGGCTTGTATTATGATCCCCTCATAATCGTTCAGCCATCCCACCTATATGAAGGTGGACTTTGCTTGGCGCGTAACATTTAAGACTTACTTTAACGGACGATCCCAATACCTGAGAGTAGCACTTCACAGTTTCACGCATTGAAATTATGATCATTCATCAAACGTCGTATTATTTATATCTTGATCTAAGATTATAACGTTATACGAACGTGAATAAAATGTACGTCGTCCATCGGAGTTCAGTAGGACATCAACCCCCCGCACTACCCAATTAAGCTTCTTGAGAGCGGGTATTTCGTCGGGGATGGGAGCTTGGCTTCCCAATATTAACCATTGAACTGAACGCCCTTGCTCGCCTGGCCCGCGTGTTGCTTGTCGGTGTTGGTGTTCTTGTCAAGCTTCGTCCGCTCCCCTGCGATGCGGGTATCAATGTTGGCTACGTTGGCGCCCTGGGCCTTTTGGATCTGCAGGGATAGCAAGCCCAAGTAGTTCTTCAAAACCTTGTTCTTGATGAACCCGTTGGAAGCCTCCTGTGACTTGTCGTTTGCCGGGACGAATGCTAGATTCTCAGCATCGCCTACCAGCTGCGCTGCTTTCTTGACAACTTGGAGGTCTGCTGCGGAGGCCGTCGCTGGGTCAACCTACGCCCGTTGTTTAGCATATGATCATAGCTTGTGCCATCAAGGGCCAAGAAAACTACGGATGAACGTACAGGGAACTTGGCTTTGGCCTCGGCGGCAGCGTTGCCGGCTACACCATCAGAGATCTGGATCTCAGCGTACGTACGATCCACCAGGGCCCTCTTGTCTAGTGCTACATCGACTTGCGGCGTAGTGGGCAGCGCTGCAGCCAGGGAGATGGCGGCAGAAAGCAGAAGAACAGCAGTATTGGTGAAGTGCATCTTGAATTGTGCGTCGAAGAGGCAGGTCTCAAAGGAACGGGAGGTCTGGGTGTAAACGAGATGTGTGGGCCAGCCGACGTAGCGTAAGCTCCTGAGCAAACGAAGGAATGGAATAGAAGAATAGAGCTAAAGATTGAAACGAAAGATGGGATGATGAACAGTCGGATGGCTGGTAAGAACGGAGAAAGATCAGATGACGAATACACAAGGCCATATATACTTTAATATTTCTCGGCCGATTCGGGCTTCCGGTGACTTTTCAGATCACGAAAGCTGTTCTTAGGGGAGCCGCCGTCAGGGTGGCTTGGGTTGTCAGAGGGGTTTGGGCCGTTCCAGGGTATCGCTTCATGTCACCCTCAAGGCCTGAAACCATCTCGATCATGAGGCTAGTCCCAATGGGGAAAGCGCTTCGGTGCACATCCGCTGGGGTTTCAGGGCACCTGGAGTTTCCAAATCGGCATGAGCCGAGTGAGCAGCTTTATTCCTAAAGCACAAGAAAGTCCTAGTTACTAGTCTGTAGTCACAGAAAAAGAGAGGAACAAACGCGATTCAGGACACGATGTTGAAGAAAGTATATTGGCAAATCTGAATGAACCGGCGAAATCTTATGGTCCCACATTTCCAAAAGCCAGACGCGGGTTCAGGACTCGCGAGAAGTTCGAATATTGAGCTATCAATGGCTTCTCGTGTCGGTACATGTAACTCCAGCAGAAGTGATACAATTCGGCCTTCATTCCAGCTAGTCAGCTACAATCGGATAGATTGCGATTAGCGGGCCAACTCAAATCTTCAAAAACAGCCAGCGCGCTTGGGGAGAGTTGCTACAGACTCCTCAGCTGCCGCTCAGCTCTTTGGACCAATAACCAGACGTGCAACTCACCTGCCTTATTAATACGATAGAAATGTCGCTTGACTCAAACGCGGGGCCAGAAATACGGGATGGCATATGCGATGGAACGATACATGTCGCACCCCACAACCCCTGGCTACAATTGAGGCTCACTGAAACAAGCGTGGTATCCGCACTTCTTCTTCTGGGGGTTTGCACCTCACGACATGGTCTAGGAACAGCGGTACTCAGCGAAAACTGCATCCCTCCAAAACCCCCAAAAGGTATTTGACCTTAGTTACAGTTGAGACGAACCATGTGCTCTGGTGGTTGCAGGGACGGCGCCGATGCCGAGTTTTACACATGACTCCGCTCTGCCATGTTCTGGGAGAAAGGGCGGTGGGACACAATTTTCTGGCTGGCGGAATATACCCCCATAGGTGGCCAAGAGGTTTCTCTGTGAGCCATCCTGGCCCTCGAATATTTCCCCGTGAGAGTCATACGGCAGTCAACAAGGTGCGCCTCCAGGCGGCAAACTGCGAAGAAAAAGTTAGAAGGGAAGAAAGATTCTGGCTGGCGGCTTTCTACCCACAGCAAGTACTAGCAAAGCGTCATGCCATCCAAGCTGTTACCTCAAATTATCGAATGAGGCTTGATAGAGAAAATGGAACATGTCTATGTGACCACTCAGCCTCTAACTAAAAGCGTCTGAAAGTTTTTCTTCCCTTCTTACTTTTTCTTTGCATCTTTTTAGGTAAAACCGCTGTAGGTGAAAACTATCCTGATGACTAAAGTTCTGTGGCTTCATCCCTATCTGTCATGCCAGAAAGGGCTGGCCAATCCGAAAGTCTTGCTGTTTTCCGATGGCGACGGCACCTGAGGTGTCAGCACCTTGAGGGACAAACTTTTGTTTCTATAAAATGTGCCATTCACTATCGGCGGAAAGCTTTTCGCCGGTATTTTTCTTCTCCACTAGCGGTTGTCCGGTTCAACATCTCGAGTCGCTTCAAAACTTGCATCGCACAATTGAGCCTGCATCGCTGCAGCTGGCCAGTCAACGGGGGGAGTGATGATGGCCCCAAAGGGCCAAATCAACGACAAGAGCCAGCATGGCCGCCTTCCAGGATACGGAAAAGGACGGTCATTGGCAGCAATTCCAAACGAGCTCCTTCTCGAAATCTGTGGATACCTTTGTCTGCATTGTCAACTCCCACACTTCATCGATGTCCCGCACACAACATGGGAAGAGGGACGCATCGGACAGAGTGGTCTCGTCAATCTTTCTCGTGCCTGCAGACACTTGAGAGATATAGCACAGCCGATTCTGTTCCACTACTACTACAGTGGTGACGCCCTCATCAGGTCCCCAGGCGGCTTGGATCTTTCGTGGTATATCGACTACAGCGAAATGATCGAAAACAGAAAAATGATATCCTTCCTATACAGCGTCATTAGTCGACCTGATCTGGCAAGCTTGGTCAAAGCATTAGCGTTGGTTGCCCATTTACCTCCCCATTCCACGGGCAATTGCAATGTTCCGAAGTCGACACTCGACCTTTTTGGCCGCACAGCCTTCAACATCGGCCTGGGAGAGGACACTTCTTGTCTGTGGAATGTTGCAAGCCCTCTTCATCAAGTGAGTTATACAAGCCTTTTCTGGCTGCAGGAGCTGGCGATAGGTCTCCTGCCCTCCGTTCGTCATCTTCTCGTCAGGAGACCTCAAAAAGAAGGATATCAAGTTCTGCAACAGCCGTCGCAGTCTTTGCCAAACTTGAAGTATCTGGCATTACTGCCAACTTCTGGC